TTAATAATTAATAAATTTGTTTAAAAAATATATAATTATATATTTTTTTATATGCTAAACATATTTTATTTAGAAATCAATATAGGTTATCTTAATAAAATTTTGAGTAATTTTAATTTTTTTAATTGTCCAAAATTGTTCAAAGTGTTTAAACTTACTGTCCACAACTGTTCTATAGCAATACTACTTTAAAGTATTTTTTGAAAACATAATATTTCACTGATAAAAAAGAAAAAATTTTACATATATTGCTTTATTTAAATGCTAGAAAACTACTTTTAAAAATAATCTTTTATAATCTAAAATTTAAGAAATATTAGCTTAATAACGATTTTTTTAAAAATAGATAAAAAAAAAACAAAACATCTTACTACAGTACTAATAAAAATTATTTTAAGATCTATTTGTAGCTTTAAAGCTCTGTTAATATTTGCTATGCAAAAAACTCTTACTTTTGATGAATTTTGCTTAGAAGACAAAATAGAATAAAATATAGTATATTTCTTTATTAAATCTTGTAAAAAGATATTTAGAAATATTTTGTTTAAGAATTTTATTATATTATATTAAATAAATTTTGTTTAATTTAAATAGATACAAGATCTTTAATAGTAAAAAAAAAAAGTTTAATATTTAAGTTTGGTTCACTTCTTTAATAAGTTTGGGCTTGTTAATTAAAATTATATTATATATTGTAAATTCTTTAATAATTTTAGATTTATTAGTAATAAATATCATATTTGTCTTACTCTATATATATCTATTTATTTTCTAAACATATATAATAAATTCTTTTATATATATTTATTAGTTTGTAAACTTTTTTATTTTTTTTATTTTCAATATTACTGTATTAGTAGTATAGTATTAAACAATAAAAATTTTGCAAATTATGCAATTTGATTGGTTAATAATCATAAAAAATTATAGAAAGATCTATAAAAATTAACAAATATATCATAATATATTATATCATATTATTGCAAAAGTGTTGATAGAGTTGGCTATGATTCTAAATATATAAATACAAATAATTTTAGATTTATAGTTTAAATCAAAAAAACTATTTAAAGCATTATTATGTGATTAAAATATAACAAAACTTTAATAGCTTAGTATTATATTAAAAAAATTGTCAATATATATATATAAATTCAAAAATAAAATATATAAAGAAAAAAATTTTATATTATTAAAATCAATTTCAAAAACCAAGACCCATGGGTTGAAAGTATAAGATTAGTATTTCTGGGTCACAATTACAAAGTTGCAAGTTTGAGTTTCACTGAAATTTAAATATAAATCTGTATATATAACTAGAAACTGAAAACTGGTTTAAGTCTAGAGCTCATTATTGTCATCTTACACAAATACGTAAACATGCATAATTTTTTTTATACAATGTACAAATATAGACATGCAGTAAAAGGTGTAGCGATGTAGAGTAGTAGTTAAGTTGTCACTTCCCAAACAGCAGGTCTAGAGTTTGATTCCTACCAGAGATGTTTTTCGAAAAATAGGCCTGTACACATATTCTAGTAATATTTATTTAACAATCGGTTGGGTATATCACCTGTAATCTTGGTACTACCATCTCAAAATAGAAGCTTTAGGATGATCTAAATTCAAGAAACCGGAATATTTAAACCTATTTAGCAAGACCTAAGCTAGAAATAGTAAAGATCTTTAATGATACTATAGAAAATTGAAACCAAAGACCGAAGAACCAGACGAACAACCCTGGAACAAGAAGGGTCCATCAACCTGACCACCAGAGTCACACCAGAGGAAAAAGTCTAATGCTACGAAATTCGGAACCAAGGAAAGTAAAACCAAAAAACACTTACCAGGCTAACTGGTTTAATAGTTGGGGAGGGATCAGTATAAAGGCTGATTGAAAATGGATATTGGGATTGGAATGAACCTTGTAAGAGCAAGGAGTAGATAATGGTAGCAGTGATAAAAACCACAAGTACCAGTTCTCAGATTGGGCGTAAGTTACCGAAAAACCTAGGTAACATATGTGTAGAATATAGATCACTCTGGTAGGTTTACTATGAGGATAAAGTAGTTCTAAGGAACCTTAGTAGCAGGAATTCTTCTAGTGAAAATATCTGATGGTACTAAGTTGATCAGAAGATTTAAATAGGAGATTCACAAGCAGATCCTAGATATGGCAATTGGTAAATAACTATAGATAGTATAGTGGAGCCCTTAATTAGACAATAACTAAAGTTATATATGTGACCAATTGTATTCTCGTTGATGTAACAAAGTCAAGAGGTGCCTATTCAGTATCCTGATAATTGAACTGAGAAGTTAATAAACCATGCTAGACCCCCAAGCGGTCACCTTAATATTAAAAAAAAAATATATATATAGATATACAGTATTACAAACGGAAAATACCAAAACTACTTTTTAATCTTTTTATTATAAATGCATCAAAATTGTAATTTCAATCATTAAAGTATATAGAAGTATAAGTCTTTCGCTTCGTTCTGAACAACTAGATTATTTAATATATCTATACAATAACTATTTTATTGTATAATATCTAATATAACAATCCTGTATAATAACCAAATAAAAAAATATAAGTTATCATATAAGACTTATGCAATAAAGAATTTTATTAAATTTTAAATCATTATAAATCATTAGAAATTATGATTGATATTACTGCACTTTTTAAATTGCTGTATCTACTGATTTTCATACATCATACTAGAAATTAGAAATCTAGAAAAAATGCCAATACGTAATTGGCTAAAAATTATTTTTAGCCAATCCTAGTGTGATGTATGAAAATCAGTGGACATAGCAATTTGAAAAGTGCAGTAATATAAATTATATTTAAACATATATTTAGTACAAAATATTTTACAAGAACTTATACCAAATACTTCATACTTACTAAAATAATCTATCAAATACATTTTAAACAACCAAAGTTGAATATGTATTTTTTTTCAAATTCTAAATACAGGTGTATAAAAATTCTAATAAAACAACTCCAATGCAACAGGTTGACAAACCTCTACTCATTATATTCCTAACCAAAATAAAGCTTTTGATTTTCCTGTTCACTAAAATTCACAAGTCTAACATATTAGCAAAAATTAATAATTTAAAATATAAAAGAATTAAATATACCTTTATTCAACTTTGATCATTTCCAAACACTTGACAACAGAATAATATCCAATTCCAAATCCATGCCCTTGGCTAAAAGAAAATTGAATGGTTGTTATATATGCATGAAATATCCTGTAAACAGTGTAAATACATTGCAAAAAAGCTCAAAACCAAAGAAAACATAAATCCTCAAATAAGTGCATACCATAAATTCTTGAAATAGCAGGCATTTGCGTGCTATTTCGAGTACACCCATGGGCATTATTTTGAAACAAGGGATGATTTTTAAACTTGATTGCCAAATAATGCCCATGTTATATATATATATATGTAGCCAAGAAAAAACTGGTACAAACGTACATACGTATATCAAACCGAATCGGCCGAACAATCATTCGGTAACATGTGATATAGGTGATTTTGAAAGCGAAATGCTAAAAATATTCATGATTCACTTTTATTAAATTTTATTATCTGGATTAGTTTTGGACCAGCCACAAAATGCTCGGTCCAAGACCCAGTCCAAACTAGTTCTTTGTGGGCTATTTAAAATTCCTATTCAGAAAATCAGCCTACATATAACCCATGGGCGTACTCGAAATAGCACACAGGTAGTCAAAATAGCATGCAGATGCCCGCTATTTCGATATTTTACGGTATTACAAGTTTTCAAATTTTGACCCGGCCGGGTTATGAAACCAATGAATTAATTTTGTATAGCCTAATGCTACGTAGTAGTGAAATTTTTAGAATAGTGATGCTAGGGTTTTAGTAGTGAAATTTTTAGTACACCTGATGTCTGTGTGTTAGCAAATTCTAAATTTTGATAGGTTAGATCCGGTATAACGTAAAAAAACAAAATCAATAATTGTGGCAGATTAAAATGAAACCAGATTAAAATGAAATGAGCGATAGTGTAAAATAGACAAGCCACCGAAAAATACAAATTTTTGGGGAGTATTTTTAGCATTTTTTTAGGGTTAGGATTAGGGTTTAGAAGCAGGTTTTATAATAAACAAGTTTTAGAGGGTCAAATAGAAACCCCTCATTTCATTTTAATCCGAGACTACGCCAGAGCGTAGGATCGATTTTACTGTCACGTGATAGTCGGAAAACAAATGTTGTTAAGATAAAAACTTGGGTTAGAGCTTAGGTTAAGGTTAGGTTAAAGTTAGGAAGAACGATAATGTAGCAAAATCGCACAAGGAAATTTTTTTTGTTAGGACCCAAGGATGGTTTACAAGACTAAATTTTGAGATAAATGCGACTTTTGCAAAGCGAACGTTTGTTTTGAATTTTTCACGTTACACCTGATCTTGATCTTTGATTGGTTGATAGACGTCAGGAAATCATGTGACAGTAAAATCGATCCTACGCCCTGGCGTAGTCTTAATCCGAGGGGTTTCTATTTGACCCATTTATACTTGTCTAAATCCTAATCCTAACCCTAAAAAAATGCTAAAAAAAATACACCCAAAAATTTGTATCTTTCGGTGGCTTGTCTATTTTATACTATATATCCCTCATTTCATTCTACTTAAACATGGGTCGTCATATTTATTCTCTTACTCATTTGCGTCGTTGGCTTAATCGATTAAATGTATCTGAGAATCAGACTTTACCGAAGATAACGATTGATGCTTCAACCGGTACACCCAGGAAACTTTTTAAATTCTCAAAATTGGATGAGATTAAGGATGACAGTTTCGTTTCAAGTAATACTGTAAATATTATCTTTAATCAAGTTAAAAATTCCTGCAATCACTATCAATAGTACAGCTGCGGAAAAATTTCTGGACATTCTATTCCGGATCAAACCCCGGACATATACATACGCGTTGCCTAATGAGTGTCTTTTTGAATTCCACAAATTTTAGATAATTCCTAAATTAGGGATATGAATAATACGTATATATATCTTTCACGTTGAAAGTCCTTTTTCATTTTAAATATGGCTTCGTACTCAAGGCCAATTATTTTTAAAGAGAAGGCACGATCTTTTCCTTCAGCGTTGCTAGCCTTCTATAATGAGCAGTTGTACACTCACCCGCTGAGAACAAAAGCGATAACCGCTGGAATATTAACAGGCTTACAAGAATTCTTGGCACAAGAATTTAGTGGAAATAATAGTAAGAGAAAAGGAAAAGCAAAGGAAAATGACAAAATTACTTTATATGATATAATTGACGAGAAGGTTGTCAAAATGGCATTATATGGTAAGTTTTTCTTTATTCGCGTTGAATGCGCACTTACGTTTAAATGCAAGTTCGTTAACCTTGCTAATTCCACTAGGTTTTTTCATTAGTGGACCACTTGGTCACGTTCTCTTTGAGATTTCAAATAAAATTTTTAAAAACCGCGCTGGTGGTGGAACCAAAATATTGCAAATTTTAGTGACTCTATTGATTATACTTCCAACTCAACATATTGGTATTTCACAGATAATCTTTATTTTGTTATCTTAACTGGTAAAAGAATGAATTATTTAAATTTATATGTATTCATTTTTTTTTTCAGTTTATTTGGCGGCTATGGCAATCATTGCTGGTTTAAGAACCACTGAACAAATTCAGGCATCAATAAAAAAGTCTCTATGGCCTATGGTGAGAACGACTTGGATTGTGTTTCCCATTGTTCAGACTTTTGCACAAAAATTCTTGGAACCACAACTATGGGTACCATTCTTCAATTTGGTTGGGTAAGATAAATACATATATATATATATATTATACTTGTATACTGTATATTGTTCGTTGCATATTAATAATATAATTGTGTTAATTTTTCCATTAGATTCTCCCTTGGGTTACATGCTTCCACCAAAGCAAAGATTCGGCAACAACGAAAACTTGCTGAAGATGACGATGATCAATGAAATAACATGAGAATGGTTAAAATACCACTCTAATTTTAATATAAATCAATTAACATTGTAAAAGTTGTATATTATTAAACAAATTCGAAGAATCATTAATTTATATTTTTGTTTCTCTGTTATATACAATTGAGTTTGCTTGAATATCATATAATTTTAAAATAAGCAAATTGCATATATATATATATTATATGTAAGACAGAGACAAAAAAAGATTTGAAAAGATATTGATTATTTTTTAACTAAAAAAGAAATAAAAAAAAAGGTCAAAGATTTGATTTTTTTAGTTAATAAATATTCTCTGGTAAAAAAAATATTCCTTTTCTATCAGTGTACAGTGTATAAGTGTAATTTCTCTATTAATATATGTACATACTATTAGTTTATCAGTATTCGATCCCAATTTCTTTTTTTTTTGGTTACAACTAAAGATTACTCGTAAATATTACTTATAAATATTACTCGTTCAAAAGGTGGAAAACGAGAATTATATATATTCATTATTCATGATAAAATTCAATTTGATTATTATTAAGTAAATAGAAAGAAAAAGTAAACATACAATAATCAAATTATGTAATAGAACGAAGTCTATGATAGTAATAACTCTTTAATCTGACCACGTTTATATAAAAAGTAAAGTGATAATATATATATGTGTATATATATATAATAAATAATATACTTACCAAATGTGCCACATAGTTAACCTCTTAAAGCCAAATTTTGCTCATTAAAAAGTCTAATATAGTATTTAAAAAAAGAAAATTTTATATGGAAAGAAGTAATCTGCTTATCGAAGAATTTGATTAAAAAGGTTGACCATGTGTATTGTCCAATTCTTAAAAAAAAAAAAAAAAACAATTAATAATAAACTGCGAATTTAGACATCTGCCGCAAATCCTCCTTCAACGCCTGGTTCAAGTAATGCGGCATGGCCAAGTACTAACGTGGCCGAGGCACCTATTTGTGGAAATACGCATCCCAGTTAAAATTGGGTAAATTCATCTTTTAAAAAATACTAACAATAATATGATACTACTTACCGACAATCCAAAATATGGTAGAACCGGCCGAAGATATCCACAAAAGTGGAATAGAAACACCAAATAATCCCATATATAAATGTTTTTGAGTGATAACATAATCATGAATGACTAATGGCTCATTTGGTGGTAGCTTACGAATATAATTTAAACCTCCAAGAAGGAAAACAATTGCTACAAGCAGCCAGATATTGGCGATTCTATTGAAGACAAAAAAAAAAAAACCGATTATCGTATCGAAATTAGAACGAAAAGGATGATTGGGATTAATGTATAAAGCGTACACTTACAAGCAATAAATCAACAACCCTATAACAATGAGGATATAATTCGATTGGAAGTAAGTCAAATTATAAGAAAGTCTTTGGGCAACGGCTAATAAAAAGTGAATAAAGTTTAATGCGTTATTAAAAGGCACCAGTTGAAATCTATTAATATTGCTATAACACGATAAATCTTGCTTAATACGATGTACTTACCTCCCATGTTAGCGGGTTTTGAGATTCTTTCTCTATCAAAAAATTCATTCATGGGTCGAATATTTCCTAGTCTTTCATTTTTAAAACGATTCAAAAGTGACAGACGTTCTTGAGAAATTGGAAGGCTATCAAGCCCAAGTCCCGCAAATGACTGCGATGTTGATGTTGACATAGTTGTAGACTTTATTTGCTTTCTTTAACGGCACAATTCTGCAATTATTTAGAAAGAAATGATAATACTACGTAATGTAATATTTTAATGACATTTTAAGCATAGTGAAATTCATATAATGTTATTAATGATTGGTTAAACAAATAAAGTAAAATCATTGGCTTAAAACACGTCAAATATTGGTTTAAATCTTGATTCTAGGCCAAAAAAAAATTTCCGTTGTTTGAGATTGATTGCAATCCGAAAAGAAACAAAAAAAGCAAGTAAAATAATAGTAAAATGCAACATATGTTGAAAATTTTATTAAGACCAATTACAAGTTCATTATTACTATCTCTATGTAACTTTACATGTAATTTGCGTAATCTGTGGTGCAAATCATGTAAAGACATTCAAAATTGTAACTTACTTGACGAGTATCCAGAATTTTGCATTGTTCTGTATTGTCTAAAATAAGACCTATAAATAATGCATCTTTTTTTTTATCGTTATGAATTTATTATTCGTTGAGGAGATACAATTAAGAAAAAACAAGTTTTTCAAGACTAATAATTGGCAAGCCACTATTGGATTGGCAGGGCTTAATCGTCACTAGCGTTTATAGTTGTTATACGTAAACAATGAAATATGTATAAATATGCAAGAAATTCATACATATTTCATTGTTCATATAAGTGATATTACTATATTAGTCAACGACTTGAGTTGAATAAAACACTAATCGTCACACTGAGTTATCCTTTAACGTTTAGTATTCTAATACGTAGATAATTTTTACCTGTTACTACGTATACGGCATTTGGATATATGGAGTCTTTGCCTTGAAAATCACCTTCCGACATTTCTGATCGGGTTAATTCGGACAAAAATAAACCCAAGTACCGGCTCATGTTCATATGTTAATCATCTTTTAACTTTATTGATTCAATAGTTTATCGAATAACTACTGAATCAATAAAGTTAAAAGATGATAAACATATGAACATGGACCGGTACTCGGGTTTATTTCTGTCCGAATTAACCCGATCGGAAATGTCGGAAGGTGATTTTCAAGGCAAAGACCCCATATCTTATTTTTTTGAGGTATATCCAGAATGACGTATAAAAGTCTTTGCTTGTTGAAAAATTAAACTTACTTTACGTAGTACGCACTGTGCCGTCAATTAATTTACTCTAATTTTGTACATTCACTATTTTACAGACAAAATCCAAATTATTTGTATCGGTATAGTTTTTATTTTTTTTGCAGCAAATCGAAAATAATCTAATGAAATAGATCAAAGCATTTTTTTTTTTCTAATTTCTTTGGAAAAATAATATAACTTGCTGTGGATTCGATTAACGTTAAAACTAATTACAAAAAAATATATATACAGTATATTTACAGTATATAGTTTGACTACGTCCTATTCATAACGTTCATTTATATAGAAGAGATTGCTTTTATATTCTTCTATTCCTCCATCGTCTATCTACATTTAGAGACTGCCATACTTCGTAAACAACTGTTCTCGGCCCTCCTACAATATCAGATTTTTCACTTTCAAGCATTCTAGCTTTAAGACCACACAAAACTCTAAATGCGATTTTCCAACATCCTTCACTTTCTGGATTTTTTGTAAATGCTTGTATATATAATGCAGCAGCTTTTAATCTCAATTCAAATAAAGTAATATCATGATTTAAATCAGATCTATCGACATGTTTTAAGATATCACTTTGGTAACTTGATGCGGGTGGAAGATTTGTAAATTCTTCTGTATATTTAAAACTTACAGCTCTTATTCTTGCATTTTTTGAATGAACTGAATATGATGGAAGTGGTTCTTGATTATTTGAATTTAAAAACAAAGGGTCACCCTTTTTTTCATCTTCACCTAATATTCCTCTAACATCATTATTATATTTTCGAAGAATGGAATCCGTAACACTAATAATCTGTTCCAAATCTTTTTTATATCTATCATCATCCATGTTACTTGCTGCTGCATATTCACGTAACCAGAACTGTTGAATATGGTGGTCAAGTGCATCTAGTTGAGCATCAGGAGCAACAGTAAATTTGGGAGAATTGACAAATGCTATTTCCTCCTGAACAGCTCGTTTAATGTCATCCATAATACATACACTTTTAAAATTAGAATTTGTTTGATTTTTATCCATCCAAGGTGGTATTGGAATTTTAGAATATTTTTTATCTGACTCGAGCACAGAGCGTTTAAGAGTTTCACCTTGTTTTGTAGCATCTAATAATCTAGCAGCTATTTGTGCTAAATAAATAGATGTTGGATCAGATAAACCATGGTGAGATGTATATAATCTGTGATAATAATCATATAACCCTCGGGGTGTTAAAAAATCTCTAAAATATTCATTAAGGAATAGTTGTTGAATTTTTTTGCCACAAAGGTCAATATTCCCTTTGGCAGGAGCCAAATATTCAGTCACTGTCTCGCTACATTTTTCAAATGAATTTTCTACCTCAGGTAAAGTTTCCGCAACGGGTGAGTTTTCAAAAAATTCAGTTATACGTGGATCCCAACAACAAAATACTTTATCACCATCATAGTCACCACCACTTAATTTTGCAGCTAAAGGACCTTCTCTTGATTGAGCTTTTACAGGGAAAATTACAACATTATAATATTTACTTAATAATGGATTATTGACAGCCCGAGCTTTTTGTATATCCGATGGGAGAACACACGGATTACGAGATAGTATCACATCACCTTCAATTATTCCAAAACGCATTCCCCTTTCATCATAACCAGCTTCACCATCTAATTGAATAAAAATTTCACCTTGTTCTAAGGAGTTGGTTGGGTCGGCGACACATATGAGGGATCGTGATAATGGAGTTTCTATATGGAATTTGGAAGCCATACCCTTTAGTTGTCCTTTGAGTAATTGTTTTAACTTTTTTGCCAAAAAAGGACATGTCGAAGGAGTAAACCCAGCGTCAAGCATTTCTATACAAATTTCAGAAGGACTATCGGGAAAACCAGATAAAGAGACCCCACCTAATCCAGAATTCGTACTAACTTCACTTATACTACTACCATAATCATTTACATCCGAATCATTATTATTAATTCGTTCTTCAATACGTCTATGAAATATATTTTCGGATTTCGCAATCCAAGCACGCAATACAGTTGGATCGTCTTGACCAACTACCATATCTTTAATTTTTTGTACATTTTCTTTTATCATATCAATAAAAACTTGAACCGGTACACCACCATTTTCTAATATTCTAATCAATTGAGCATTCAATGCAGCAGGACGATCTGGAGCTCTAACAATTCGAACAACATCTAAAGTTCTAAGATGATGATTATTTTTTGTAAAATCTAATTTATATTTTGTTTGAGATTGACGTAAATCAATTCTAAGTTCATATGGATCTTTGACTTTAGGATCTAAAAACCAGATTCCTTTGGCACCACCTATTCTTGCTTGTATAAATAATGGTGTTTCTTTATAATCCATTATTTTTGCAATTTCACGCATTGCAGCTAATGATATTGCAGCACATCCATCCGTTAAACATTGACCCATGGTGTTTTCTATGTCTGGTTCATCATAACGGATTTGATTATGATCAAAAACAATTGCAGGAGTGGAATCGGAAAATCCTAAGGAAACACGACTATAAAATTTAGCGATTGTAATATTAAGATTACAATTTATTGGAACATCCAAATTAATTGCCTCCCAAATTTTTACAGGTTTGAGACCTGAACCATAAGTTGCAAAGTAGTACAGGGTTCCCTCCCTTGCGTACAAGAACTCATATGTTCTCCCAGCTAATTCTAAAGGTTGTAATAAAAGATTTTTTAACTTATCATCTAGTTTTTCTACATCGATTTCTTTATTGAGCTTTACGTGTAAAAATCTTCCCGAAAAAAACATTCTATAATACCTTTTGGATAGGCATGTTCTAGGAGGGTTCAGTTCCATTTCTAATTTTCCATTTCGCATTGTTACATCAGCAGAATAATAAATATGCTTACGTTTTCCTACAGATTTATCTGTTTCAGATATCTCCCAAATTAACTTATTGTATGGTATAAGTTTACATAGTTCTTGACCGTTATAATTCCTACAGGAATCCATTAAATATTCTTTGCATATTGATTCAAATGCATCATAAAAGTCAGAACCAGTTTTACAATTCTTCAGTTTGTTTGAAACATTTACAGAATAATGCATCTTTCCAAATGGTTTGAATAACCTTACAAATTCATACCACACTAAGAAAGGGAAGTTCAGTAGGAAACTTTCGTATTCAAATGGAAGTTTTGTAGAACAATCTGTTGCGCCTTTTGGAACCCAAAAAATTGAATTCACATTGGTAGGACTATGATTAGTAGTAAGTTTTTTGTTTGAGATAAAATTTACAGGAATTTCGATATTATTAGAAAATACATCATTCCAATCTTCACCAGCGGTTTCAGCCTCGAAAAGAGAAAACAACGTGTATTTTTGATGAAGGTCCTGTTCAAAGTCCATTTGCAATTGTCCGAACATATTTTCATCGATTGATAAACCAGGGGACAGAGATTTTTCGACAAAATTATTAATTAAATCATCTAAGCATCTTACGTCTCTGAATGCCAAGTCCTCCATGTAAAATTCATGAGAAGATGTAACGAATGGTCCCATTCGATATTTTGACATAAGATTCTCAATTGTCCGCTTTCTCTCATTTACCACCTCGTTATATGAGTTTTTGCTACTTGAATTTACGCTTACTCCATTAGAGTTATATGAAATTTTGTTACTTGGATTTACACTAGCTGAGTTAGAGTTATATTTAGAGTTATATGAATTTTTGTTAATGGGGTTTACGCTAGCTGCGTTAGAGATATATTTAGAGATATATGGATTTTTACTGGGATTTACGCTAGCTGTGTTAGGGTTATATTTAGAGTAATATGAATTTTTGCTACTTGGATTTACGCTAGCTGCGTTAGAGTTATATTTAGAGTTATATGGATTTTGGCTACTGGAACTTACGCTAGCAGCGTTAGTATTATATTTAGAGTAATATGAATTCGAATAAGTGGACATGGTGATTGTAATTATGGAATTTTAAATAATATAAGTGTATCGTTCTTATAACCTGGCCGGCCAAAATTTTTCTACCTTTAATTATTATCCGGGAGGTTTATTATCTGGGAGGTTTTTTTTTTTTATTCTTTTAAGAAAAAACTGTAAAGTCAAAGAATTCGACTTGTAAATTTTTGAATGCATGATTATAATACTTTATATATAATATTAACTTTCTTTTAAAATGGTAATTATACTAATTTTGGAATAGTGCAGCAATAACTTTTTATTGCTTTCTTTACACTAAACCTGATATAATGTCGTCAACAATGTAAAAGTCTTAACATAATTATATTGGGTGAAAAAAAAAACAGATCACCCAAAGATAAAACTACAATGCTGTAATGTACTTGACCGCACTTATACACAGTGTTGAAAATTCGCTGTGCATGTATTGTTATTTGCACAAAATTAACAATGGGCTGTGCAATTTGCACAAAAAATAGAATATCATTTACATATAAAAAAATTTTTTTGCACAGCATATTTGTGCCGAATTTTCAACACTGCTTATACATATGTCTTTTATAATGTCTTTGTCTTTGTCTTATAACCGGAATTGTCGAGTTTTTTTTTTAAAAAAAAAAAAAAAAAAATTTTCCGACATAAGTATTATTATATTGTATGATTTACCCATACCGGTTTTCATACCATTTTTATCCCACGTTTCACTATGATCGTATCACGAAAACTTTGAATATTT